TATCCAGGTGTTGGAATGGCCAAGTCAAAGTCCAGACCTGAATCCAATCGAGAATCTGTGGAAAGAGCTGAAGACTGCTGTTCACAAACGCTCTCCATCCAACCTCACTGAGCTCGAGCTGTTTTGCAGGAAGAATGGGCAAAACTGAGAGAGACAAACCCCAAGAGACTTGCAGCTGGAACTGCAGCAAAAGGCGGCGCTACAAAGTATTAACGCAAGGGGACCGAATAATATTGCACGCCCCACTTTTCAGTTTTTAATTTGTTAAAAAAGTTTGACATATCCAATAAATTTCATTCCACTTCACGATTGTGTCCCACGTGTTGATTCTTCACATAAAATTAAAATTTTATATCTTTATGTTTGAAGCCTGAAATGTGGCAAAAAGTCGAAAAGTTCAAGGGGACCGAATACTTTCTCAAGGCACTGTATAAATATATATATATATATATATATATATAGAGAGAGAGAGAGACAAACGAGACAAACAACCATTCACTCTCTCACTCACACCTAGGTACAATTTAGAGTTACCAATCAGCCTAACATGCATGTTTTTGGTCTGTGGGAGGAAACTGGAGTACCCGGAGAAAACCCACGCTTGCACGGAGAGAACATGCAAACTCCACCCAGAAAGGCCCCTGGACCGGGGTTTGAACCAGGGACCTGCTCGCTGAGAGGCAGCAGCTCTACCAGTTGCACCACCGTGCTGCCCTCGTTTATCTTGACCTGAGATAAGTGAAAAACTGCAAAGTAGAAATAGTAGTACAAGTATTAATCCAACTGTGTGTCATGTCCACTCTTATTTTGAAAAACCGCAATAGAGTGAGTCTGTGAAAAAGGAACATCAAAGTAGCGAGGCATTACTGTACATTATGATGGGTGTCTTAAAATATTTGTGTGAAAAAAACAACAACTTGACAAGAAGTTTTGTGGTAGGATTGTTTCAACTCTTGGAAGAGCTTATGTGGAAAAAAAAACCAGCCACTCATTTATTTCTCTTTTCTACTGGTGCAATCAACAAATACAATTTTATTCTGACAGAACACGTCTGTTTTTTTCATCAGTTGTTTCCAGTGCTCTCCTAACCTCACAGTAACTTTATCACAGTCTTGTGTTCCTCAGAGGAAACATTGTCTGCATCAAAATACACAATAAACACAACCTTTAATCCCATATTTATCATTTCATAAAATAATGCATCCCTCTCAGTAAGTTTTTTGTTGTCTATCCCTATTCTTTTTATATGAGCCCACTAGATGGTGCTCTGCTTTAATATTTGAGAGCCTCTGTAAAATGTAGAGTTCATCTCAGCCCAGACGGTTTGTCTTTCACTGAAGTCACAGTGGAGTCCTGCCTGACATCTCTTCCAATAAAATTGTTTTATTTAGATGTAAAGAGCAATAACTCACTTGTCTTGTGCACAAGTACACATTTAGTACAAAAAGCTGTTTCACATGCATGCAGGCTGCAGCATCTGACTCTCCACGACTGACCTGTTAGTTTCAACCAAAGCAGGACGTCATCGGCCGGTGCACGGTGCAACTGCAGCTCCATAGTATATCTGAGTCACATGCAAAAAACTATTTAGAAACTAGTGCTTCTAGTTTTGAGTAGAGGTTATAAAAATTGGGGGAAAAAATCTCCATGTTCAACCACCAAGAGTTTGACTGACAGAAAGGCCTCACTTTAGGCCACTGGGTCTGAAGGGTCTGGTGGGCTAGAGGGTCTTCACAAAAGTCTAGTTTTAAATTAAATGTCAAATCATTTTGGGCGTATACTAATGGAGGAAGATGCCTCTTCTTTAAACTGCTTTAAATTTGAAATAATTTTGTTGTTGTTGTCGGTTTTTCTAATAAAAAATCCCTTCAAGAGTTAAATTTTTAAAAAGCCATTTAAATGTATCATTTTATTTCCAGCTGAGGTACTGTAGCTCTGAAAGTTTTTAAGCAGTTCAATAAGATGCTAGTGTCACGGTCCACGTTGAACCCAAGATGCAGGCAGACGCAGAGTGAATTCAACGGTAAATTAAAAAAAAAAGATTTATTTCAAATGAACAAAACCAAAAAAAGTCGACGAGGTGGCGACAAACTTGCAAACTCAGGAGGACCGAGACATCTGAACGTTTCAGGACAGTGGAGGGACTGGTAATATATGAACTGAGGGAGGAGCGTGGCAGCACCTGCATTACAGTTGCATTCGGGCCTAAAAAAATGTGACCCGGCCCGAGCCCATAGGCATTGTGTCCGAGCCCGACCCGACTAATTAACTGTAATTAGAGGCTCGAACTTGAAGCAAACACAACGTGTTATTTTAATTAAGTTTCACTGTTTTTGTGGGCCCTTGAGCAAGGTCCTAACCCCCGCCGTCTGCTCCCCCGGGTGCCCTAGATGGCAGCTCACTGCTTCACATGTGTGCTCACATGTGCAATGGAGAAAATGCACATAATTAATTTCCCCATTGAGGATTAATAGAGTACAATAAAAAAAAATACAATAAAATAAAGTCACCAAATGAAAATATTTAAAAAAATATGGAACAAGGCTGTTTTAATTTAGATAAAGTCATGCAGAATGAACCTGAGTCACGCTGTCAAGGTCAAGGTTTCTTTGTCATTTGCACTACATGTGGTACATGTGGTGGAACGAGATTGTGTACACAGGGTCCCAGCTACATCCAACAAAAGTATAAATTGTAAAAAGAAAAAACAGTAATAAGATCTAAAATATGAACTAAGAAATATGTCGCTGATGACGGAGCGATTTAACGTATGACAGAATAAAACTGGTGTGTGCATGAGAAATAAATTGAAAAGGCCTCTACGTGCTACAACAATGCTTATGCTAATACTTTAATAAATAAAATATCTATAATAAATAACAGACATGGGGCTGAAAGAATAACAGCAGCCAAAAACTAATATATTGCACAATCTGAGAGGGAGTGATAAAGAAGAATAAAAATGATCAAAAATGTATTCTCGTACAAACAAGAACAAAATAAAAAGTGAACACGTGAAGCTAGCTCAGTTTGTGGCTGGTCGTCATGCAGCAACAGCCTCATTTCTTCTTCGACTATGAACCTGCAACATAAAGCTGGAATTAGACCCAAGTTGCCTAAATACAAAATTATGAATATATTTAAAAATCTGTCAAGAAGTTATTGTTCTACTTACATAGTTTTACATGTCAAGCACAATATTGCGTCCACTGTAACAGGTCT